TGATATTTGATGGGTGGAGAAACGTCTTAATCATTTACGTGTTCTCTATAGAAAATGCATCATCGGTAGTGGTTGCAGAGAAGCTTTCTAATTTGTTTGAAAGTCCTTCTGGAAAGAGAAATGCCAAATAAACCTTCGCCAGTTGTCTTGTCGGTTAAACTAACAGTCAGCACTCTTCATTAGAAATATGGCAGCTAGTCAACAAGCAAGTCTTCGACAATATTTCTATGATTTGAATCTTTTCGAAAATCCTTCAAGTGATGCTAATAATATCAGTGGCGGATTTAGGGGGGGGCGCTTGGGGCGATCGCCCCCATTCGAAAAAAAAATTTTCGATTTTTCCCAGCAGAAAAGACTTAAAAATAGAGTGCATACTACTACTAATGAACTTCAAAACTCGATTTTTGGTCAAAATCGCCCCATATCTATCAAATCGCCCCTTATCAAAAAAATCCTAGATCCGCCGCTGAATAGTATCTGTCATGAACGACTTGCTGCATGCATTTATCTTATTTCACTTCCTATTTTTCTGCTCACTCTGTCAATCATAGCTGCATCTGCTCTTTGCACTTCTCACGACATCATCTATTCACGTCTACAATCAGATTTCGAGCACCTACTGCAACACTATCTCAACACATTCCAATGTCCTTGCTCACATGTCTCTATTCTCTACAAAATATTTACTGATACTCATGCACAATTTCATCAAGTATGTTCAAGTGAATTCATCTCTCAAGCATCGATTGACGCGGTGTACATTCGAGACAAACCGTCATTCTCCTCATTATTGACAAAGGATATTCGATTGACTCTCAGCTCATTTTGACAATTGATCAAAGGCTTGTGTCGAATTAGTCAGCAAACATGAACTGATATTGTGACAGACTTCGAAGCATCAAACTTCTTCAGTCCGATGGCTATCAGTGAGCAACTGCTGCTAACTCAAACACGAACAGTTCTTGATGACATGATCAACACAGCTCGAACATCACTCACTCTGAATTTGCTCACCATCAACCGACAACAACAGGCAATCAACTTGTCTCTGGATTGGCCAGTAACTTCTGCATACATATTATAGAATCGGAACCGGCCTTCTCACCAAGAGTTTTAGATGGATGTTCTTGTCTAAATACGAGTGATTGTCCACATTCAGCCATGATCAATAAGAGTCAAAGACATTCGATGATTGTACCAGGATTGTTGTCAGATTATTTAGTGTGAGTGGTACGCTAGCGTCTACACTCGAATGCTAGTATGATCGATCATGTATTTCTCTTTTACATGATTCAATCTCAGCACCTGTTGAATTTCCGTTGGTGATGTCTAACAGATACTTTTCATGGAACTCAACTATTCAATCAATGATCGATGCATTAGTGATAGATGAGATGTCAATCAAGATGAATTTCAAATCATTTTATGTTCAACGCAAACCATTCTACTGTTCATATACATGCATGCATCGTTTGGATGTAATGTTTATTGTCACAACAACCATCTGTGTATTCGGTAGACTATCTTTGGTCCTACGTTTCATCTTACTTTGATCGTCAAAGATATACTACGTTGGAAGGATCCATCTTTACGAGAAAAAAACCTATCCTCACCGACATTATCCTTCAAAGAGAGATATGGTAAGTAAATGATGATCTCACCGGAAATATTGATGACCGTTAATTCTAAATCAGCATGTTAGTTGAGTGCCTAGTGCAAAGCTCAGAATGAACTCCAATATTTGATTTTTATCGTCTTCAGTAGTCATAATGATATTCTCTTATTTTAGTTGATATTTACAGTTCATTCTTATAAGTTTCTTTCTTCTCTGTAGATGAGAACACGTAGTAAGGAAAGTGCAAAGCGTTACACTCGCCAAGGTTTTTTCATTGGTTAATTAAGACCTTCGAGTTTCTTGTTGCTTCTTCTCACAATTGCATTCAACATCTGTGCATTCTAGAAAGTCAGTCCTGGAAAATTGTCATTACATTAAAAGAAAACGATCGTAATATCTAGAGTGGAGTTATGAATCAACTATATTTCATTTACTAAGAAGAAGAAAAAACAAGTGAACAATAACACAAAATTTTTCACAAGAAACAGAAAAAAAGACCTTGAAGATGTGTTTTCCATCCAGAGATGCCTGAAATCGTTTTTTTTCAACCCATGGGTCAACTGAACCCAGCCGATTGCGCTGTGGGTGGGTTCCAGAGAAATTCTAAAGTTTATGTTCAGCCCATGGATCGTAGGGTTAGATTCAGTAGCTTGAACCCTACTCATTGGGTAACCCAATGGGTAACCCTGACTATTGTGACTTTCAGGTTTTTTCTATATATTGATGCGACTAAAAGTTTCAGTGCACCTATGTAAGAATTGTTCATAACATGTAAGTGATCCTTCTATAGGCTATGCAATAAATATATCCAGATTGTCCCAAAACTTCCTTAGAATAATAAACAGATATCTGGTGCGCGATGAAAAGTCTTTATATAGTTTTGTAAGATGAAAGCGAGTTTGCTTAACATTTATTTAGCATATCTTCTGATATATACTTGTGTCTATAAACATAAGGAAAAGAATAATTTCGTTACCGTCCTTTGTCAGATGATATTCAATCATAAAGTCAAAATTTTTCATCGCATTCAACAAGGACAGGATTAGAAGTAAAGCTGAATTAAAAACATTTGCAAGGCTTTTATAAAGCTGGTACTGCTGCAGCTTAATAAAGTCCCGAAAAAGCTTTATAAATTGCATAAGAAAATGGTGTGGGTGTGGGGGTTGGTGGGTGTGAGTGTGTGGGTGTTGATGGTGTGGGTGTCGGCTGTGGGTGGGTGTGACCTACGCTAAGATACACACCCACACCGACACCGACACCCACACCCGCACCTATACCCACCCATACCCACACCCATATCCACGCCCATACCCCACATCCCACACCCACACCCACACCTTACCCTTCTGTTAACAAAATCTTTCAGAAAGTCGGCGAATTTAGCGTTTGTTGTTCAGTTTCTGCCGGGAAATTAGATGAGGTACTTTCTGCCAAATTTTTAGCTCATCCCACTTTGCAAAACAATCGACAATCCTGATTCAGACAGACCAACATTTACATGCCAATGACCCTTTTGATAAACGTCATTCGGAAATCAAATTATCCAGCTCACATGCATGTAACCGACCCATACGTGTATCTTCACCGACTGCCACTGAAATCACTTTAAACGTAATAGCTACAGTTAATTCGAGTCATGAACATATCAATGTCACTTGGACGTCAACTCTATGTAGTGATGATTTTGTTGGCATTTAGTTTCTTGTCATTCTACTTTCCACAGGCAGAGACATAGTGAAGGCTTCTAAGATCTAAAGTATTTCCATTCTGATTTGTTTAGCTTGTGGCTATTTTTCATTATGAATTTGTTCAAAATCAGTAAAATATTATTTCATGGCAAATGATTAATCTTCGTCGTCTATTGGAATTTCGTTGTTATTCTCTTCATCAGAATTGTGCAAGTAATTATTCATTTATAAGAAAACATGTTGTTTTTCAACCATTCAATTACAATGAACCAACACATATTCATTAGACATATAATGATTGAGGGTGTGGGTGGGTGTGGGTAGGTGGGTATGACTGTGACATTAACAATTTCAACACCCACACCCACACTCCAAACTGAAATTTAATAAACTCATAGATGGTACCTTCGGGAAACACACATTATTGCGAACAATCATCTAGAACTGTATGAATAAATTTCAGACGCGCCTCATTGGCTGAAGTACAGGGTGTCCCAAAAGTCACGTTACCGAGAAAAAATTGAGTATCTTCATTACGGTTCGATCAAACGAGCTGTTTTTTTTACCAAATATAGAGGCATGTTCACACTCCAAATCCACATGGACAAGATTAGTGAGAACCTTTGTTAAGTATATTTATTTTTTCTTTTCCTATCTGTGAAAAAGTAAAATTTTCTTGTTGAGGTGAATAGTGATACTTAACAAAGGTTCTCACTAACCTTATTCGTATGGACTTGGAGTGTGAATATGCCTCTATCTTCAGTAAAAAAAATGAGCCCCGTTTGGTCGAGCCATAATGGAGATATTCAATTTTTTCTCGGTAACGTGACTTTTGAGACACCCTGTATCAGTTATTCTTATTGCGCAAATTTTCTTTACCAGTGGTGTTCAAAGAAATATCTTGAAAAAAGTTCTTACAAAGAGTGACTTCATATGATTATTCATATTTTTTTTTCCATGAGAATGAAAAAGTAATACAGTTCTTTTCCGTTCTGTTTTCTAGTTTGTAGCAAATATGCGTAATTCGCATTAAAAATTTTTCAACTTAGAACACCACTATCGCTTCAATATCAAATAATATGATTCCATCGATTGATATATTATCAGTCGAATCACTTCATCGAATTTTCGATAATCTTAATGCACAAACAATCTTACTCTCAATTCAATCGGTATGTCGGTTAGTTCGATCAGTTACCAACACTAATAATCGATATGTTTTGGATTTCAATTTAATTTCAAAATCAAATTTTCATATTCTATGCCGATTAGTTAATCCAAAAAAATATTACTTCATTAATACTTTCAAATAATGAACGAACATCAAACCAAATCCATTCATTTATTTCAGTTGTTCGTCTTCGACAATTTACTTAACTTCGTTTTTTAATCCTTCTTAACATTGATGAAGGTCAATTTAACTTCATTTTTGAAAAGAGTCAATTGTAATATGCTCACTTCATTTTCATTCAATATTACAAAATATGATAATAGACGCAGAAAAACAACTACAGCTTTTCTCTCATTAATTGCGCACAAAAGCTCTTCGCAAATTGGAATTCTTTACGTGTGATAAAATGCCAAAAATTTCATGGTCAATCAATTCTACAATTCAATATTTGACCATAAATAACTACATAAATATAGATAATTTTTGTATAATACTTCAAAATTCTCCTCATTTTTGCACACTCATTATGAGCAATATCCCAACAGGAATGATTAAAAATTCATCTTCAATATGTTTTCCACAATTAACATTTTTAACTATCGAAGAACTTTGTGAAACTGTTGATGAACTTGAATCATTACTCTTATTAATACCATCACTTGTTTATCTAAAATTAATTGGTGGAAAGAAAATGATGGATGGTAAATGATGGGATCCATTCATTGAAATAAATTTATCTCGATTGAACAAATTATAAAGAATTTGAACTTAATGTATCTTATCCTAATTAGCCATATTCTTGAGAAAGGTCATCGGAATATGTCACACATGTCCTGTTCTTAATAAGTTTCAGAAAATATAAAATTTCAATAGTTTTGACAACCGTTACTGATCGAAAGGCGTTGAAACGAGCTTTTCTACTGTAATTTGTAGTGATGTAGGCAAATGTCGTTCAGTTGATGTTTATCCCCTTTAAGTTCGTGCTCGACTTTTCATATATATCTATAAACTATTTTTCTTAATCAACCGATTTCAATCTCGTGAATTCGACTGATTTTACTCTTTTGCTAATGAAGTGGGTGTGGGTGAGAAAGAATAATAACAGCAACACCAAAACTAACACCCACACTCACATTCGTTATCCTACACACTCTAACAAACATCATTATAAATTATGTGATTGAAGGCTGTTTTCTTTTACTCTGTGGATACAAAGCTCAGTCACAATATTACTTGGTAGATAATATTAATTAAAAAAAAAAGTTTCTCCAGATGGTACAGATATCTATGGTTACATGGAATCACCTGTTCAAATTGAGGAAAATTGTTTGCACTACGGTACTAATTTCGAACTTTTTTAAAAACTACGCATGGTAGTATCATGAAAAGTTCTCACTTGATTTTTCAGAAAAATACATTTTTGAGATCGTGCTTTTAAAATTAAAATGTCGATAGTTTTCGAAACGATATTTTGATCATTATAGGCGTACAATTAATAGAAGAGATATGCTTTTCATTGATACGTAATATTATATTAGAAGCCTATTTCAAGTTAGTAAATATAGAACAGTGTATAAGAAGCCAACATAAATTTTTTGCACCAAAATAATTGTTTTTCAATAATATCTCAAAACTAAAAAGAACCAAAACTTGATCGAGATCAATACTATCGATACCAAAACTATATCAAAACCAATACTTTGGAACCAAAACTATATCGAAATCAATACTTCAAAACCAAGAGTGTTGGCTTTGGTGAATGTCTAGACACACCAGGTTTAACGTGTGTCAAACACGTACTCACAGCCATGCTCGTTTCTCATTACTTGGTGAAGTTATGTTACGACCCGACATTTGCACTACGTCAATGTCTCACGCTTGGAAAAAGTCTCTCCCATTCCTTTACGAAAAGAGAGTGACAAAATCATAGCAACTATAAACGTAGAGACTGTGAGTGCGAATATCCGCTTTCGGCGTGAACAGAAAATGCCAGCACCGCGACATGTTCTATTCTGAGCGATACCTACTCTTACACCAATACCTACACCATTATTCACAGATACCCACATCTAACACACACTGAAAATAACGCACTAAGCTATACAGAGACAGACAAAGAGCCACAGCGAAAACGCTCCACACCACCCACACCCTACATCCACCCAAACTCTAGTATATCGTATTTCATTTGAATTTGATTTAAATGACATTTTTCGATCTTCTTTTTCATGAATAAATGAAATTGACGACAATCTTTACCGGAAAATTTACTTCATTAGACAGATTTACTTTATTGAACTTCTCAACGATTTCCAAATCGTAAAAACCGCATATTGTAACGCATAAAAGCAACTAAAGCCGTAAAAACATCTAGCGAAAAGAACATAATTAAGTCGCATGTTTTTACGAATTACTATGCGTTAAAATTTAAAACGAAGAAAAAATCGGTTAAATTTTTAACGCATTAAAATGTGCGCTTTTTACGCTTTGGAACACATTCGATTTTGTATGCGCTTTTTTGTCGATTTTATCTGTCTGGATTAGACTGTTTATTTGACTCGTTTACAACTTATATGTATATAAATGAGTCTATTGCCTTTGGTTATATGTTTGGTTCTCTTCTATCGACCTCGAATAATGATATCTGTAAGGAAAAAAAAAAGAATCATGCTTAGGTTTTGCTTTCTAGAAGATAGGAAAGAAATTGTACCGACATTTTCTAACCGGTGTAAACAGTCGTTATGGAACAGAACAAAAACAACTATGAAATTACGTTAGTCTTCTCTCGTTCTATCATCAGAGAAAAAGAAGATCGCACATTGTCTCCTTCTATAAATATGTCTCATAAAGAAGCAGAAAGAAACGAATGGAAATAATATTCTATCTCTGATCTAAAGGCACAACGGAAGAAAAGAATGTGAAGCATTTT